GTATTGAAAGATCCGATAAGCGGGAATGCGCTAGAAGATGAACAAAAAACAATAAACGATATGGGTCTAGTGCCAGCAGCAGTGCTGCGTTTCGAGTGGGATCCTGATGTGTTTGCTGAACTGAACAGACAAGGACAACAGGTAGGTGTGGCGACAAGCCTTGTGTTTACCTTCAGTGTTCCGGAGTTTTTTCGTGATTTGTGATTTTTCACCAAAATTCAGCGATTGAATAGTCGTAGTTGTCTTTGTTTACACGAAATTGAATATTCTGAAATTGAAATGTGTGTAGTTTTGAGTTTTATTATTGGGATGGTTGGTGACTGATCAAGGAATATAAATAGTGAAGAGGAATAGAATGATATTAGGGAATGTTTCAGTAAGTTTCATTTGTTAATGCAGTGCGTCTTTGTTGATGACTGTCTGTTTGTTTGCAAGGTCTGTTTTCAGGTTCCATATCTGAGCGATCATTTCATGCAAGAGGCTGAGAAGTTTGTTGCATCGTAGACGAATTCTACAAAGAAAATTGGACTGTTGATTCTGATTTTCGTTTCAATTGAAATAATTNTGCTGTTTTTTTCAAATGTAGATGTCTTGATATTGTTTAATGAGTTTTATTGCGAGGGAAATCAGTTTCTTTGGTGATTTTTTGTTTGGTGTTTTATTGTTGAAACATTGTGTTTGTTGAATGTGGGGAGAATATTCGCTGTCCTTGTAATGGTTCATATTGTTCTTTGAATGCATGTGGAAGTGGATAGAATGTTGAAAGTATTTCGTAGTATTGAACGGAAGGTTTTGTTTTTCATTTATGGGAATGAATTTTACATTGTGTTTGTCTTTTTTATAAGTGATGTGATGTGTAATTTGTTAGGTTATTCTGATTCAGTATTGTGCTGCATGTTGCTTGGAATATAAGATATTCTCTCGGTGAATATGTCCGTTTAGTTGTGTGATATGAGGTGATTCTATCATGGTTGAACGTTATCTTCTTGTGTGACGTTTTGATGCTATAGCAGATTGTTTTTGTCAGCACTTTTTGATTGTATGAGGTTGTTTAAGACCATATTGGTTTGGTCATCTGATGAATTTGTAAATGTTCGAAAATTGGGCTTCGAATAGATTTGGGTGCCTTTGATTATTGGCCTTTGGAAAATTGTTTTTGGGACTTTGG